AGGTGGGAAAAAAAATGTGCTTCCTTCAGTTTTCCATGATCTTGTTCAACCCAGACACACATTTGGCCAATAAACCTAACTCTGGAACTTGCCTTCAACATGGCATTTTAACCAGGTTTGGAGTGGAAGCTAGGGTGATGAGGCCAAACCCCTAAAAGAAGCAAAGGCTGAATTCATTTTTATTGAGGTATTTTTTTTCTTTCCCAGCAGCATATTTTCTGTCTTTCTCTTTTATTTCTCAATGACAGTCCCGAAACCAAGAATCAACTTCATCCCGCATCCCCACCTTAAGGTTTCCCAGGCCCAGGAGAGATCTCCCAGACTAGGGCAAAGATGCGTGCAGCCCTCCCGCGCACAAAGCCACAAGGCTCCTACAAACAATGCCCAGAACAAAGCCCAGCCCTTCCTCCACTCGATCCAGCTCACTGATATTTATTGAGCTTGGCCCAATAAATAACTCTCCTCCCGCCTCCCTCCAGTCTCTCACACACTGCGCTCTGTTTCTATATCTATCTTTGCCCCTCCACTGGACGAAAGAAAATGCAGGGGTCCGGGTGCTCCCAGCCGCAGGCTGGCGGGCTGACTCCCTCCCCAGTTGCACAGCAACGAGCTCGCAAAACACCAGATCTGCGCCAGCGCGCCCTCCGCCCTCCCCGGCGCTCTTCCTCCCAGAAGCTTTGGCCGCTTGCCACCTAGCTCCCCATTACTAATTCAAAAATGCATTCTTTTGTGGGGGGTTGAAAAAAAGATCTAGATCTATCTCTATATATGCACATATGTTTTTGGGGTGTGTGCGTGTGACCTATACCTTTATATTTATATGGAAACTGCGGAAGGGAGCGGCGCACCCGAGTTCGCACTGCTGGGTTTTTTGGGGGGTGGGGGGAATGGTGGTGGTATGTGTTGGGGAACAGGAATTTTGGTCAAAGGAGTTCACATTCTCCTCCCTTTCTTTGTTCATCTCCCACTCCTTAAGAAGTTCCTCTGTGCCATCTCCAACTTTTGGGGGACCCACCCAACAGTTTTGAAGCTGAAAAGCTTGAGCGAGGAGCGCCCACCCGCATCTCATCTGTCCCGAGGGAGGCGTCGTCCCGGCCGCTGGGTAGAGCGCAGCCGTCAGGGGACAGCAGTCGGGTAGGCACCTGCCTAAGGCGGGTGGAGTCGGTGAGAAA